CGGCACGCCCCCCAGCCATTACAGGCAGGTGATGGCCAATGGGGCACAGTGGCAGGATGGAGGAGGTGATGGAGCCGTGATGAAGAGCTCCTTGAAAGTTGTGGAGCTGCCCTCTCACTCAGATGCAAGGCAGTACGGGCTCTGCTCGTCCATCACAACTTGCACTTATCTCATTCTGATGACAATCTTCAGTTGAATTCACAGTTCCTTAGTATCTTTATGAACAGCTCTATTTTTTTTACGGACTTTAGAGACAAGCTTTATTAGGGTCTTTGTTGTTGTTTTTTTTTTAAAAGACTGTCCATAAATTTACTTAAGAGGCTTGATTTAAGAGACAAATTTACAGACAGTTGGCAACTGCATTTGGAACATGCTGTCTCCTTCAAGCTTCTTCTTACCACCTCCAGGCAAATCAAGCCATCGGACCTTTCTAGACCCTACCCTCTAGGGAAAAATCCTTTCATCTTCAGTGCTACTCTAGATTGCTAAGGTTGTCTGCTTGCTGCTCCTCACTCTATTCTCTTTAAGCACATATAGGGAACCCTGCCAGCTCCCTTTTGTAGGAAGGCAAAAAAAATGACTAATGGCAACTGAACTGATTGCGAAGCTGGAAGATGGTAGGAATAATGGGAATTTTGTGTATTTATGCAGTGCAGCCAGGTTGACGCTGCATTTGGGCAGATATGTAAATGCTGTACCATAGGCACGAATGACTTCCGAACTGCATTATACATGGAGCACTGCAAAGTGCTCCTGTTTGAACCACATGTAATTTGCCGCTGACAGGGCGTGAGCAAAAATATGGCTCCCCCTGCCCTGTCTCTGTACTCTGAATACTTAATGAAGACTACTTTGCATTATAAACTCTTAAGGCACAGAGTTAATTGTTATTATGTAATGTTCTTAGAGTAAGACCTCCCTGGGAGAAACATAAGCAGGCACATTCCCTCAGACTCTGACCTTGTGCACGGTGTTTTGTTTTTCTTCCCCCTCCCCCCAAAACACAACCATAAATTATAATCAGATTGCCCGCATACAAGACACGGAATCATAAAAACATAAAAATTAAAGGCCTACCATTGTCTCATCTATCCACCCTCTCTGGCCGCGTCCAGATGAGTGTGGCCGTGTGGTCTGTGATGCCGCAGACCGGTCTGCAGCACCGCATACTTGGGCATTTCCCACACTGCTACCTTGCAGTGCAGGGTGGGTTTTTTGACCCCGGGATATCCCAGAGTAAAAAAAAAAAAACAGTGCAGAAAAAAAGTGGGACAATGCTGGTGGCCGTAGTGCATGCCACTTAAAACTGGAGCCTGGCTGGCCAGAGGCATCTTCTGGCTGCTGTCCAGGCTCCTAGCTGCAGGAGTGATGCAGCTGCAGCTTCCCCAGCCCCTAGGATCCAAAGTAAGGCTGCTGGGGCCAGCATAGTAGCTGGCCCCATCCTCCTCTACCCCACCAAGGGTAACCGCCAGAGGGCACCTGGGGACAACTAACAGCAGCACAAGTGTCCACGCTCGTCTGGACACAGCTTGTCAATGTAAAGTTATGTGAATCAAAGCACAAGCAAGAAGAAATGCTTCCATGACCTTCCATGAAAACTGTTCTGCAGGTAACCAGCTCTCAAATAAGGGTTTTTGATGCCCAACTCCAACTGGCTCCTAACGAATTTCCTCCCTTTCACTACGTAGCATATGACTGTTCAACCGTGCTGCCTACATCTTTTGAAACCACTTTATATATTTTCCCATGCTGATCGTTCTTCTTTTTGGTGATAATTAATAGAGACCAGAATGCATTTGAATTTTTAGCACCAATCAAGTGTAAAATCCCAGTTATATATTCCCTGGGTAAGAATGAATAATTTAATGTAAACTGCAAAAAAAATTAAATTTGTGTCTGTATTACAGATGACTTTTTATTTTTAATTTCTGGATGCTAACAGCAATAAAAGTATTCGTATATATTTATCTATCTATCCTTTCTGGGAACTTTTGGGTAAAGAAAGCCTCGGGTTTTGTTTTAAAGCTAGATTTTGTTCAAATCCTGGCAAATATGTTGATATCGTTTACTGGACCAATTATACAGTTGGGATAGAGCTAGACAAGCTTTCAAAGGCACGGCATTCTTCATCCGGTCATCCATCACAGCTATAACATCACTCTTACACTATTACACAATATGACCTCATAGGAACTTGCTGTTATGTTGGACACTGGGTTTGGATACCTGAAAAACTGATATACTTCGGGATACTCAAAGGCTTCCCCCCACAGTCCCACAAATAACCACACAATTTGTTTCATTGTTTCCTTAACCCCATGGCTCTTAAATATCACACAGCTATCTGGAGAAAGTAATGGAAATCATTAGGTGGCCTGCTGGATGATAGGTTTAACTGTGCATACCAAGAAACTGCTTACGTTGCAGTCTAAAGAAAAAAAAAAGTAATGAAACCGGTCACTTGATCTGATTAGGTAGAGTCACACTCTGTTATCTACTATTGATTGGTGTGTACAAAAGAACTGGAGAGGAACTCTCATAACTGTGCACGTGGCATCAGGGATGAAGCTCCTATTCCTCTATAAAGAGAGCGGTGGTGGTGGTGGCGAGGAGGATTTAGGAATAAACTTTAGGGGAAGTTTCTTGTGGCTTCCTCACAGTTCACCAATATCTGAAGCAGACAAAACTCAACATTAGAAAACGGTTGATTTTCCACTTGGATAATCAATCTGCTGAACATGACGCTAATTTCTCTCTGGTTAGAATAAAAAGATGGTCAATCTCCTAAATTCTCCTGCTGGTGCTTTGCCCACTGGTTAAATGCTGCACTATTCAACATTGGACATTTATCTGAACACCCTTCTCTTTTAATCAAACAGGACAGCAGCTCATAATGAAATTCAAATCTGAAGCCAACCAGGGGAGAATAACTCTGTACTAATACATAAAACTTGCTGAAAAGCCTAAAAGATGTCTAGTGACCACATCAATGATAAAGTTTGAACAGAGATTAATATCTGTTCTTATGAAAGGTTTAATAGATCAAAGGGGAAGGAGAAACTGATTTCCCTTGGTTACATGCCCATATACTGAGCTCAAACAAATATTAATTGTTCAAAATAATATATATGTATTTGATTGCAGCCTGAAAGATTGCAACGTGGCCAACAGCCAAACCCCAGAGTCATTACTCACTCACAGCTTTCCCTGGCTAAGATGTATGGGTTTAACCTTTTTTATTAATATGTAGAAACAGACTAACAGATGTACGGTCCAGTTGTAATCCCACCTGTATCCCTCCGAAGCAACTTGTCCTCATTCACACTACTTTAAATCAGATCAGAATGATATCTGACCATATAAATACAAATGAAGTGCAAATAACTCCCAACCAGAATTCAACAGTTACTTAAAAACTCACAGCTATATTACACAACTGCAAAAGATAGGACCTGGCACAGAATACAACCAAGTGTAACCACAGGAAGAGTTAAGACAGAGAGACTATTCATATCCAAGCTACGATTTGGAAGGATGTTCTGTTCTAAGACCCTTAATTTTACAGAAAATGCCAAGTGAAACACATACAATCATCAAATATATACTTGATTAGCGAGGAAATGTTCACTGCTAGTGCCAGTCTCCACTATATATTTTTATGTTGTTGTATCAACATGCTGTAATAGCTAAAATTTCCCTAAAATATGAGCATATTTTTCAATACAGTTTCCACTTGTTCTTGTCATTTCTCTCTCACATGGGCATTGCACCAACACATAAATCCTGCTAGCAGCTAATCTAGCTGTGAACAGGCACAATTCCCACCCTGAGCAGAAGCCACACATGCTGTATTTAGTTTGAACCTTAATTTTATCCTGGGGTTTGTCTCTTTTGGTAACCCAGATAAAAATAACAAAACAAGAACTTCAGCCGGAGCTTTCTTCCCAAGCAATATTGTTTCTAGGATTTCCCTGAAGACACTTCTCCGTCCCAGAAACCATTACCCTTTGCCCAAAGGGCTCCTCCCACATCCCTTGTATGCAGGGAGGAGTTAATGAGCCGTGCCCTTCTTACAG